AGGCCCAGTCAACAGAGCAAAAATTTGAGGAAGATAGAGGAAGAGGGGAAATAAAGAAATGGATTAGACAGATTAGAAATAAATGCATAAATGGACAGATAAGAGAAATATTTAGATTAGCTGATATACATAAGAATATAAGGGTGGGCTGAAAAGTTCATAGGCTAACAATGAAGGAGTGATGCTAGAGCTGTGAACTCTTGCATGCATTAATTTCAACTCTTCTTATTAATAAGTGCATTGTTTTTTTTTCCAGGTAAACTGAAATGTGACTGTTCAAAGAAGGCCGTTCATACTGTTGGTCAAAAAGGTCATTAACAGCAGATATGATGTCATCATCACTGTGATACTGATTCTCAGCCAAGTTTTTTTTCATGTTGGGTAACAGTCAAATCACAAGAATAGGGAGGGTGATCAAACAGTTTAAAGCTATAGTCTCACAACAGCCATTTGAAACAAAGGACTTGAGTGGTGGAGCAAGACCCCTTTCGTCAGTTTTCCTGGGCATTTGGTCTTGGTAGCCTTTCATAACTGCCTCAGCAAGTTGGCATAGTACTCTCCATTGATGGTGTAGCCCTTTTGAAGATGATGACTAAACACTCCCATTTGCATCCCAGAAAAACTGAGGACATTACCTTCCCTGCATATAAAACGATCTTGGCCTTCTTTGGAGTAGGTGAGGAGTGGTGTTTCCATTGTATATATTATCTCTTTGGCTTAGCAGTGAACCAAACACTCATCCTGGGTTAGGAAACATTCAAGGAAACTAGCTGATTCAGTCATATTTCTGTAATTTCATCAAGTTGGTACATTTTTGATCAGGTGTCAGAAAACGTGGTACCAACCAAGCAGAAACCGTCGTCATGTCAAATTCATTGTGTAGAATATTCTCAACTCTCACGAGATATGCTAATAGCATTGGCTATTTGATTTATAGTTCATCGCATGTCATCCATCATAATGTGGTGAACAGGATCAATGTTTTCCTTGGTGGTGGCAGTTGCAGGATGTCCAGACCTTGGGTTATCAAGACTTCCTTCCCCTCCTATATTCAGCTGACTAATATTGTATTGTCTATATTTCTGAGATGAGGTATTGTGTACATTATTTACATTATTCAGACTATTGTTCTCATCTTTGTTGCCATATTTATCACAACATTTCGGCTATTGTACGCTCCAGCCTTCTTCAGGTGGTTGGAATGTCGAACTGAACCCTTTATTTCGCTTGCTGGGGTAGACTGTTCTAGTTCCGTGTGCCGTGTCTAATGGATGTCAGTTAGTTATCAATTTACCTCTCCAAGTTCTCCACTGCCTTAACCAGGTATTGAATTCACACTGTCACTGGATCTAACTAACACCTTTATCCACTGCGCCATGTGTCCTTAAGGGTCCAGTTTGACATTCCAACCACCTGAAGAAGGCCGGAGCGTACAACGGCTGAAACGTTGTGATAAATATGGCAACAAAGATGAGGACAATAGTTTGAATAATGTAAATAGTGTCACTATTGTACTGTTGATAAATCTGGGTCATCATTCCCTAATGTAGCAACTATGTCAGTATGAATGTCCTTAGGTGCTAAACACTTTTTCTGCAGGCACTTCATAACACCATGATGCCAAATTTTGTCTATTTACAAGAAAAGTTGCTACTAGTTACTCTGAAGTCTTCTTCAAACAGTCAGATGTCAGTTTACCTGGAAAGAAAGAATGTAGTGATTAAGAAGAGTTGAAATGTAAGATTTCACAGTTCTAGCATCACTCCGTCATAATCAGCTTATGATCTTTTCAGTTGGCCCTCGTAGAATAAAGAGAATGATAAAACATTTAGGCAGATGAGATAAAAAATAAAGCAAGAAAGAAAAAAAAGAAACAATCAAGACAGACAAAGATGTGAAAAATGTTTATTATTAACAATACTAATTTTAGCCAAGTGATTTGCATAATATAATTCCGTAAATAGAATGTAATTGACTAATGCAGAGCAGATAGTAGGTGACTAGTGAGACATTTTATGCTTGGGAGAAAGGATTTATTTTTTTTCAAATATAGAGAAAATATCTCCATACAGGTGAACAGAATTATTACTAATTGAGAAAGAAAGAGAGACATGCAAGAAAAACAAAATGGTGGATTTATGTCAATACAAGAGTGTAGAGAAAGTTTTCTAAGAAGCCTTAAAAAAAAAAATCTGATGTTTGTCCATATTTTGGGACCAAGTCAAAAACACTTGGTTTGGTTTGATTGTTTTTGTTTGTGGCATATCAATCCAAATGGGTTATTTAATGCTGAAATCCAAATATGAAAATTCAAACTTTATAATTTAATTCAAGAGAATAGCATTATTATTATTATATATACTAATTATAATTACTTAGCTGCATATATTTTTTTACCAAACAATCTTATAAAATCAAACAAGGAGTGAAAAATTGTTTTTCCATACAAGAAACAATTATAGCAAATTGTTTTATTTTTTTTAACTTAAAAAAAAAGAATATATTGACAATGTATGTCATGTCTTCAATTTTATTATAAAATGTATTGTTGGTGATTTTACTATCAAAATGTATTGCTGGTTATTTTAAAAAAAAAAAAAAAAAAAAAAATATTTTTATACTTTCCTAATCTTTTTGAATCCATTACATTCACTTACATGCTAATACCCTTGGGAATGGTATGAATCTTCTTATCCCCCCAGCTATGTGTAAATAGCAGGACAAACCGGGTTCTATAGCCTTGGATAGCAACTGGTCTACCATAGAAAGATATGGCAACCTACTGCAGGAAAAATCTGCCTTGTCAGTCATGTATCGAAAGATACATGATCGCCTAAGCCAAAGCATGTACCACACATGGCACATAACTGACTGAATCTTTTGATTTTTGTTTGGGGGGTCCCCTATTTGACCATACCTGGGACCCTAATAATTGTTACTACCCCAGGTCAAGGTGGACATGGGAACAACAGCAATCTAGAGGTGGTTCCACGCCCCTTGAAAACCTCCTGATCAGAGGATGCTGCTCTATGTAGTTTATCATCATACCCAGGACATATGAATGTTATTGTTAGTATAAAAAAAAAATATTGCATGGTTCACATTTTCTTAATTTTATAAATCTAAAATCAATCTTAACAATAAATGTTGTACTTTTTAATTTTGTATTATTAAAATTCTAAAATTTTTTTTTAAAATCATAAACATTCTCGAGGGAGCGGTATCAAGAGAAAAAAGGGTTGACAGGGTTTTTTTTGTGTGTTCGAAGGTTAAACTTTGCCACAAATTTTAATAATCAAGAAATCTCACGATTTGTAAAAATAAATAAAAAAAAGGACTAGTTGAAGTCATCCATCAAACAAAATTCAAAAAATAAAGGAAAATTTAAATAAACGTAAGAAATAATTATAATAATTTAATAATATAATTTTTTTATTTTTGTTGTTTCAACTTTTATTTTACTTCCAGGAATAAAAATTGAAAGTGAAATTTGTGACAAAGAAATTTTAGAATATGAAAAAATATAAAATAAAAATATGTCACGCACCAAAAAGAAAAATAAAACAAAATAGTGTCAGAAATGCAATATTTCAATTTTTTTTCTTTTTAAATAAAAAAAAATGCGAAATTTAATTTTAGAAAAAATACACGAATCTTTGTTTCAGTTTGGGAAAAATGTCTTTCCAGTGTTTGATTTCAGTTGAAATATTTTTATTTTTTTTAGAGCTAAAAAAAAAGGAAAACTAAAGTTCAAAATAAAAAAAGGGAAAAAGGTGGTAGAGTGGCAATCGTATGAAACGCTAAATTAAAAAAAAAAAAAACTCCTATTCTTTCGAAACCTTTGTTGTGAGTGTCTTGTTTCTACCCACGTATTCTCAGTGCATTATTTTTTAACAAGTGGTTGATTGTTCAGGTTGAAGTTTTTTTTTTTAATGTTTATTATTTGATCTATAAATGTAGAATAAACAGTAAAATGAGATTTTAGCACTTTTTTAATTACATTATAATTATTAAGCAAAATTAAGTTTTTTTTAAAAAGCTCAATAACCTAGAAAAACCTGTTCAATTTTCTTTTTATATCCTGAAAGTTTGAAACAGCAAAAAAACAGTAGAAAAACCCAACTAAGAATTATTTTCCAAAGATTTATTCAAAATGACTTTTTTTTCAGTCGTATAAGATTTTATTTTTTTATTAACAAGTCCACGTTCAAAATGTAGTTATTTAAAAAATAGTTATAAAAATATAAAAATGTAAAATTTGTAAGTTTTAGGTACCTGCACTTTTTCGCGGCAAAACAGCATATAGCATAATGAAAAAGGCCACAAACTTAATAAAAACAAAGTTTTACCATCAAAATGTTTATGTTATTATTGAAAGGAAAGATCAAAGTATTTTTTGATTATTTTTTGAAATTTTTAAATCCTTTCTATCACGTTTGAAATTTTGGTTAAAAATCTTGATTTCCTTACGTCAGAGGTGAAAACGTAATAACCATTATTAACTTTTTTTACGTTCTTTTTCCGGTGAAAACACATTGATTTGGAAATTCTTGCAAAATCAAAATAATTGTCGGATCTTAATGAAACTTTCAGGACATATTCAGAGATGAATTAAATTATTTTTGAAATGTTTGTTTTTTTTTTTTTTAGAAAATTTTGGTAAAATTTTTTTTTTTACATGTTATTATTCCCCCACCCCCGTAATAAGTATCTTAAATCTTTTAAACTTAAATTCTGGTCTAAATTTAAAAAAAAAAATCATTTATTTAAATTAATTCTAAAAATTACTTTTTAGTGTAAATAAAACACCAATTTTTAGATGGATTTCTTTTTGTTCCCAACTTTTAAACCTGGTCACTCCATAAAAACGAAAACGTGAATTTAAAACGCAGTCATTTTTTTGTCTCTTTCCTCTTCATCAATAACTTGTTTCTTCAGTGAAATTCATCGAAATAAACATTTCTTTTGGGTATTTTGCATAAACTTTCCCTTGAACTTACCAGAACTTTTGCCCTACGTTTGTAGAGAGTCCATAAAACTGATTCGTCCCGACAAAAGATCATACAATGAGCTGCGTGGCGATATTTAGTGCTAGGGTAAGCATCTTCAACTCCGACAAAGTTGATCTGTTCAAAATCTTTGCCTTCGTTCTGAATACGACCGAAGATTTCCACTTCACTTAAATGTCCCCAACCGATTTCTGCCATTACGAAACACTTAACCACAATGTTTACCACCGAGAATAAGCGCTGAAAAAGAAGCAAAGATCGACTAAAGGGAGATAACAATGTCAATAATAATCAATAAATCAAAGTAATCTCCCCTGAATGATGACACTTTTTAGCAATTAAAAATATTTTTGCATGATTGTTATCGGTTATTTTAATGCCGAAATTGTTTTTTTTTAATATATGGCAATGTTTTGTAATATAATTATTAAGGGATTGTTTGTGTTTAGCAGTTATCATGGGATTTTAAATCCGACTGTTATGAGAAGGGGAAAAGTAGAAAAACTATAATGGCAACTATTAGCATTTGAACCGAAACTTAGTGCAGAGAAAGAAATAACGAATTCTTACTTGTAACTGGCGTAATCTCGCGGTGGCAATCGTTTTGAGACCCCCTCCCCGCAAAAAAAAAAAAAAAAAAAAACAATATTATGTTGCCTGCAAGTAATTCTCCTTGTAACAGTAGAAAATAAAGAGTTAGGACAATTAACACTTTCGGTAACACCCCCCCCCACCCCGCCGTGAGCTTCGAAAGAGAGAGCAAGGTAGAAAATAAAAAAGAGGAAATATAGCCTTTATCATTTTATATATCTCTCTTCGAATACATATGAAAATTTTGACTCCCTTTCAATCAGATGGGATCGACTGGAATTCATCTCTATAAATTTTCTGTGAAGACGAAATAATATCTAGTTTGATTTTCATCACAAGATAACAATTGAATTCTCGCATTTCTCCCTCTCCTCAGGAGTTTTGTTAAGCTAAGTGCACAAAGTTACTACAGTTAAATTAGAAATTCTCAAGTTCTAAAATCCTAGTACAAGTATGGCGGAAAAAAAACCCAATTTACACATAGAGATAACAAATTAAAGCCTGATTTATACAATTGTTATAAAACATATCTCTAACTACATATCAATTTTCGTCTAGCTAAGTCACACACTCCGCAAACAGATTTTAAAACAAACACAAATATACCAGATACAACTCAAGCTTGCACTACGTCCGTGCGTTTTCCTTAAATACGCAATGATATTCCCTGTTTCTCCTCTTTCTCTTTCTGCTCTTGGCTCCAAGATGTGAATCACGTGGGAATGTTAGTTTCCGTGACGGCTGACCCCTCTTTCCACTTTCCGATGCATAGTGCTCTCACGTGTATTCGAAAACCTATAAAATAGGTCAAGCTTTCTCTTTGGCTGTTTCAACTCAGCGCAAAGGTGACTTGAGCGCGACCATAGTAATGAAGCTTAGATTGACTTACTTCTGGACCGAGAAAAAGCAAACGGACATCCCATAACCATATGTAACCCCCTCCAACGATAAAGTAAACAGAAACCTACCGTTGGTTGTTTCAGCTCTGCACAAGGCTGACTTGAGCTCGACCATGAATACGATACTTATACTTACATACCTTAACTTCTGCAGCAAAAAGAAAACACACACCGAAGAGATATTGAGAAATTTCGTTCACTACTGTCATTATAAAAAGAAATAAACGCCCGTAAATGCTTCTATCTTAACATATTGAACACGCACCTTCACCTAAGATACACACAAACACTACAACCTGCTAGCTTCCATATACCTTGCTGGGAAAAGTGTATTTTTCGTTATATTTTAAGCAAAAAATAAGTAATATTTCTTACAAAAATTATTTAATTAATCCATACATTTACTATTTTTCGTTGAAACTATTCCCTGGTACAGATAGTCGATTTGTACGAGATTTTTAAAGTGTTATAATTTTTCTTTTGCCGGCATCCATCAAATTCGCTTATCGAACTGAGTTTTTTTTTATTTATTTTGAATATTTTATTTAAAACTTTTTTTTTTATTAATTTTAAATTAATATATTTCAAGTAAATCCAAAATTTAACTTCAATGAAGACATTTCAATTAAAATGCGTTTTCTAGTTTTTTTAGTTTTTAAATAAAATCTGTAGAGGGAAAATGGTTGCTTGTTATATAACATTTTCAAATTGGCATATACTTTCAGCCGGGCAGTTATCTTTGTTTCTACAGTTACAAGATGGTTTGCTAACTGGTTGGTTATTGGTATAAAATTTGTTAAATATTTTATGTAAATTAATGATATTATAGATGTTATTTGTGCAGTAGCCAACTTTTAAAGATTTTTCTATTAAAAATTTCATTTAGTTATTTTTGTTAAAATGTTTATCAATTAATTTCACGAAGTATTGACCAATATTTATATTAGATAGTTGACAGAAAGGAGGGCTAAATCATAAAACTTTTCTTTTTCTATTATGGGTCTATTTATTTTAGTATCTTTTAACGATTTTATGTATAGCAATTTTTGTTCAAAGCCACTTATTTTCGAGAGCATCATAAGATTTTTTATTTTCGTTAATTTTTTTTATTAGAAGACTGTCTATTGATTCTAGTGTTTACTGCGGTGGGAATTTGTCTAATTATTGGAATGGTATGATTAGAGTTACCGTTAATATAGATTGGACTATCTTTGGGATATGGTTTAAAAGTATTGTTTAGAAGATTGAAAGTTATATCTTAAAAAAATAAATAAATAAATAAAAATAACCATTTTAAGGTTGGAAGAAATTTCAATTCTAAACCCAAGGAATTTGAAAGCCCTGATAATTTTCTTTTGCAAATTAGAAGAGAGTGGACCATTACTATTGGAGATAAAATTAAGACCATCATCTCTGTAGAGACACACTTGTTTAGGGTCATTAATCCTACTAAGGGTGTTTAAAATGTAGATGTCTCCTAAGTCAGTAATTTGAGAGGAGCCAAAGGCACACATATATCTTTCTACTCTTCTCCCTCTATACTTCTCTCTCAACTAATGAAGAACTAATCGATAAAAAAAAAAGAGGAGGAAGAAGAAGAAAAGACTTAACAACGGCTGCGAAACGGAAGTTTTTTGGTTCAGGATCTAGTTATTGTGATTGGAAATTTACCAAAATAAAGGAGGGGAGGCTCCACGTTTAACCCCAGTTATAAAAAAAGAAAAATGTTATGTTTTTTAAAAACCATTTTGTTTCTTCTTGTATTTCATGCTTTGTGGTATTTTACGTTTAATGTAAATTGTGTGGGCATGTTATTCACACAGCCGTAAACGGACATCCGCAATGGTCATTCCTCTTAACATGCCTCTATAAAATGATGTGAAAGAGATAAGTAAAAGGCGTCCGCAGTGGCTTACGGTACTAGAGGGAGGGTGAGTCGTAACCTTACTGCGGCGACGGTCTTTGGCGAGTTGTCCTTGGAGATGAGAGGTCAGTTGTCTTTGGGTGTGGAGATGGCGTTCTGGCTAGCGTGTGAACCCTGGCTGTTGTGCCGAGCAACTGCCGAAGATATCTCTTTGACGGACTTTTAAATCCTTTTCGTGGACTCAGATCGGCTCAAATTCCTATTTCGCTTCTTTAGACGGGAGTGTGTGTTATTGGGTGAAAAAAATTAGATTGTATATTTTTTTGGTGGGGTGTGAGGAAAGCGGAAGATGTGTGCGGATGCGCACTTGACGAAATTTTTAGTTCGGTCTTGTGTTTCGGAGTTTTCACATCTAGCCAGTGGTGGAAATTTGTGTAACATGAATCAGAAGAAAATCTGGTTTAGGAAGATTATAACACTATCAACAAAATAAAATACATATACATTAACATTACAAGGACTCTCTCTCTCTCTGGCTCTCTTATGCTAAAGGATTTAGACGTTCAACACATGAACTTTCTAGTATAAACTTATGAACAAGTTTAAATATTGTATGTTTTAAGATAAAATTTTATATTTCCAAGCGAAATATAACTTTGCATTGTCTTTGAATTGATTTTTAATAGGCCAAAAGAACAGGTGTGTATTAGGATTAAGGATGTCATACAAAGATAACCACCTGTAAACCAACAACACCAAAATTAGCATTAAATCCGAAATCGTATATCCCACACGTTTAAATCAATAGCTAAATAATGAACCACATCAACCCGACAAAATACCCACAAGTTGAATATCAAACTCTGAGGTATTTGAAACCGAATTTAAAATATTTTGTACGCAATTTTATTTTATTTTTTTGAGATAATGATTTTAGCGACACAGATTTTACTAATTAACCCATAGCTGAGGAGAGAAAAGGTGGGTACATAACCTTTCGCAAAGGTATTTGCACGTAAGTGAATATAACGAACCCGGCAGGGATTCGAACTCAGCTCTCTGATTTTTAATTCCGAGTCGTTATATATTGCGGCACCCGCACATCCAAGCTTACAGCACCTGGTCAAGCGGTCACCTATCTAGTTGCTTATCTTCGGTGATTGTACGTGAACCGGTGTTTCAACGTGATATAACTGTACGCCCTCCTCATTTTCTAACAGAATTGCTGACATTATCATCAGAGCTGTTTCGACTTGAAGACACACTGCAAATCAGTGTGATTTCTCATCTTCAGTACGGCCGCTCGTTTCTTCAATGCCCACAGAGCCAATCTATGGTTTTATAGGATCAAGGTCCTATATTGTTTATAAAACCCGTCAAAACAGGTCCCAAACGAAATTATGCAAAGATGCTTTCTGATTGGATGGAAAATATATATCTATATTACGTCCGAATAACATAGATCTAGTTCTTGACCTGGCTAAAAATAATTCTGCCCCAAATCTGTCAATGTTTTCCGAGCCTACCACGTGACCCAAGTTAGCAATAAATATGAGACGTCATTCATCCTCGACAGTGAGCCGAAGGTGAATGTAATGATCTCTATAATATGAACTCATCTCGCAAATTACTCATTTTAGCCATTACATCAACTGCACATCAATGGCTAAAAAACTAAATTAAACTTTGTTTTCGTGCGT